TATTATTATATTATCTTTGATCGTAATCTTTAATTAACTTTATTCACTGATATTTCCAAAACAGAAGTTTGCGAGGTTTAGGTTTACTATTAATTTAGTTAGGTAAGCGATTAAGATCTTTCTTTGGATTGGCTTACAAAGCAAAGTTCTAGTTTCGCTTCATAAGCTTTAAGATAGAGTTAAACCTAAAGTCCTTCTACTACACGCCGCATGGGATACATTTTAGAATAATGGATAAACTTGTGGGAAAAATAGTTTTTAAATTGTAAATCTTCTATATGAAATTATTTCAAAACGCGAATTAGTAGCGGTCAACTGATACTGTCATTTGTCGGAGCGGCACTGAACTACAAGTAGCATGATTAAATTTAAAAAAGTTTTTTTTATTTATTAGAACAATAATTGGTTATATAATACAACAAATCAGCAAAATTCGAAAATTAAATTAAAAAAAGGGATTTCTTAAAGTTTTTGTTTTACTTTTTATTTTTTTAACAATATACGCAAAACATGATTTTATAAAGAGTTTTCAATATCATAGTTCAAAACATAATAGTTTTCCTTAGTAAAAGAAAGTTTTTACTAAGCAACTGTAGCTAACTTTAATTTTATTTTAACTAAAAATTTTATGTAATTTATTAAAGAGAGGGAAATGCTTTTGACCAATTTTAAAAACACATTTTATTTATATTAGTGGAAACATTTTTGCTATATTGGGGTTGAACCAAATTCTTTCTTTTTTTCACGGTCAAATTTTTGTTCAAATTTTTCAAAACCACTTTTTTTAAGGGCATATTCAAATATTGGTTTGGAGTAATTAAATACAATTTCATTAGAGGAGTTTTGGCTTAACCTGTTATTAATTGAAATCGGAATTGGTTTTGGAATTTGTGGTGGTCGATTTGAGTTATTATTAAAATACAATAATTCATTGCTTGGTTTTTTAAAAGGCTTATATAAATTTTCTTGGAAGAGGTTAAATGTGACATCAAGAAATTTCACAGTTTCTAAATTTATGTTTATATCAATTTAAAAGCCAATATTTTTAAAATTTTTGATAAAATCTTTTTGAAATTTATCGAGCTGTAGACCAGATTTTTTACGCATTAATTTTAAAGCATCGTCTCGATAAAGGCCTAAATCATTTATATTGATTATTTTACTTTATAAATCTAAAATATATAGTCCAACAAACTCACAAAATTCTGTTCCGTCATAACAGTCCAATGTCACATTAAAGCAATCGTGTATGTTTTTCTTTTTTCAAATTTCCTTATTAAAGTAAAGTAAGGTTTTTCTACAACCTTTTATCATACGGATTGTATCTTCAGGAATAACTGTGTGGCTTTTTGCAAATTCGATTGTTTTATTTAAAATATCTGCAGTTATTGAAGGGTAAAAATTAATGCTATATTGAATAAATTTACAGTTATATAACATAAATGGTATTTTTCCAATGTTGCAAATTTAATTTACTTCTAAGAATATTATTAATTTTGTCCAATTTAATTTTGTTTACATGTCCAATCTCACTTTTTGAGGGAACCAATAACCTACAAGGAAGTTTGTTTTAAAAGTTTGGTTTATGGTCTTTTAGTGTTACAAAGGCTTGGGCAGGGACAGTATATTCGACTCTGTTTTCAAGGTTTATTTTTTTAGCAATACTTTGGGCTTCTAAATTAATCGCTTTTTCCGAATTTTTAGGGCTTTGTCATAAGCACTAGTAATATTGTTGCGTAAATTTTTTTTTATAGTTTTCTGTTGTGAGTTGGTAAATTTTATTTATTCTATCGGCAAAAACCAAAACATTTGGGTTTGATTTAATTTTTTTAACGTCTAAATTTAATTCTGTTTAAAATTTATTCTTTATACGACGAAACTTTATTGTTTTAATTAAATGTAATAGGTCATTTTCAAAATTTTCCAAATTAGGTATAAAAGGTCGCTATTTTTTGTTTTAAATCCATAATTTTCATTATCCCAGTCAGCAGCACTCAACCGGTCCGTTGCTGGCTGGCCAGCTCTGGCGTACCAATTAAGGTCCAACACTAAACTATACCAGGCGCGCCAGTGCTGGTTAGACATGTCTGGACCATAGTTACGCCGATAACGGTTCTCCAGCGCTGGTATGCCGTCGTTGGCCTTACATAGGCCCTATATAGGCGCACCAGCGCTGGTAAACTGTAGGCGGTCCTGCAAAGGTACACCAGTACGCATTTACAGTGCATGTATATTTGTCGTGTGGTCGATCGGCTAAAGGAAACTTGTCATATTAATATTTATAATATTTAATTAGTTAATATTTGAGGAAATCTACAATTACAGATATAGTCTGATATCAATATATAATAATGATATTATATATATATATTTATATAAAACATTGTAAATAATATTATGTTTTATATATATATATATATATATATATATATATATATATATATATATATATATATATATACATTAATATATATATATATATATATATATATATATATATATATATATATATATATATATATATATATAAATATAAATATATATATATATATAAATTTTTATATATATATAATATATATATATATATATATATATATATATATATATATATATATATATATATATATATATATATATATATATATATATTTATTACAGGTTTGTAATCTGTACAATAGAAAAAAAAAAATTAGTTGTTTTTGTATTTGGATTACTTTTTAATATTTTAGTACTACTAAAAATATATATTTATATATAAATATATATAAATATATTTATTATATATATTTTTTAATTGAAGCTGATAGAATATATGAAGCTAATAACCGAACTACTAAACTGATAAACTGATACTACTAATAGTAGTATCAGTTTAGTTGTTCAGTTTCATATATCATATCAGCTTCAATTAAAAGTATATATAATAACAATATTATATGCACAGTCAGGTCAGGTTATCCTTATGTCAAGTCAGGTTATCTGCTACTGATAACATGTAATCCAGTACAACCTGCCTCATATATATATATATATATATATATATATATATATATATATATATATATATATATATATATATATATATATATATATATATATATATATATATATATATATATATATATATATATATATATATATATATATATATATATATATATATATATAATAGGGTGGTTTTTTTTTTAACTTATATATATATATTATATAATAATATATAGGGTGGTTTTTTTACACATTTAGAGGCACTACCTCTCAATGTGTGCAAAATAATAAAATAACACTTAATTTACAATTTTTTTGAATATAAAATATTTTAAGGGGGCCCCAAGACCCTTGAATATCTAATAGTAAAAAAAAATTCATAAAAATCTCAAAAAAAAATTTTGTTTTGAATAAAAATAATTATTTTAGGTTTTATTGCATAAAAAATCATGTTTTTTAACAAAAAATAAAAAAGTGCTTTTTTTAAAGTTTTTTAATGATAACTTTAATAAATAAGTTGAAATAGTTATTTTTGTTCAAAACAATTAATTTTTATTTTTTAATATTAGGGACCCGTAAAATATTCAAGGCTTGGGGGACCCCTTAAAATATTTTTTATTCAAAACAAAAAATTAAACCTAGTGTTATTTTATTATTTTGCACACATTTAAGGGTTGTTTTTTTTAAAAAAAGTTAAAAAAAAAAACCACCCTATATATTATTATATATATATATATATATATATATATATATATATATATATATATATATATATATATATATATATATATATATATATATATCATTGCATTATAGCTTGTTTAACACTTCAATTGTATTTTATTGCAACAAATAATGTTTAATGTGTTTGTTCTAATAAATTCTAAATGAATGTAATGTCTGAAAATACTTAAATAGTATTTCAATTATTTGAACTTTCTGGAATTTTATTCCAGTATAAAAAATTTTTTTATTTCCTTATTTTTGACTTTATAAAATGAGTATTCTAAGTACTTCAATTATATGAACTTGTGGAATTACTTTATTACAGCATAACATTTTTAAATGTTTTTTTACTTACTTATATTTGACTTTATAAAATGAGTATTCTAAGTACTTCAATTATATGAACTTGTGGAATTACTTTATTACAACATAAAATATTTTATTGTTTTTTTACTTCCTTATTTTTGACTGTATAAAATGAGAATTCTCAAATAACAGAAGGAAAATATTGAGAAAGGTTTTACTTAAAAGTAAGTCTTATTTTTCTTTTCAGCTTTTATTTACTGTTTATATATATATATACATATATATATATATATATATATATATATATATATATATATATATATATATATATATATATATAAACAGTAAATAAAATTTTACTTGTGGAATTACTTTATTACAGCATAACATTTTTAAATGTTTTTTTACTTCCTTATGTTTGACTTTATAAAATGAGTATTCTAAGTACTTCAATTATATGAACTTGTGGAATTACTTTATTACAACATAAAATATTTTATTGTTATTTTACTTCCTTATTTTTGACTGTATAAAATGAGAATTTTCAAATAACAGAAGAAAAATATTGAGAGAGGTTTTACTTAAAAGTAAGTCTTATTTTTCTTTTCAGCTTTTATTTACTGTTTATATATATATATATATATATATATATATATATATATATATATATATATATATATATATATATATATATATATATATATATATATATATATATATATATAAACAGTATATATAATATAATATATATATATATTATATATATATATATATATATATATATATATATATATATATATATATATATATATATATATATATATATAATATATATATATATATATATATATATATATATATATATATATATATATATATATATATATATATATATATACATACATATAAAATACTATATTATGTTGTAGGTATATTATAATTGAATTTGTAACAGATTTATTATAATGTTCTGCACTTTCAGGATGTCTATGGAAAAGTATGTTATTGTTGCCTTCTTGGAGGAGGATGATGCAGTTGCAGTTGTGCCTGCAGCTTGGCTGATCAACAGCGACTTGTGTTATTGGCCTCCATATACCAGTCAAGACAGAAAAAATAAAGCGGCAATAAATTGTGAAATACCATCTGAAAAATGGTCTAAACATTCTTGTCGAATTTTAGGGACCAAAGGCAAGTTTTGTATGTTTTATTATAATATCATTGACATTGACATTATAATAAAAGGATGCAAACATAAATTGGTATTGTTCACAAATGTCAAATATATATTACTGACACATTGATATATTAGTTTCCTAAATATTAAATTTGACTTGACTTGTTTTATGTTTCTAGATATGTTTGTTTTCATTTTCTGAGTTAAATAAAATGATTAATATATCAACAGGATTCAAAATCAACATTTTGTTTAAAGTCTACTACCATTTTTATCACAGATTCGTATGCAAAGGCCAGATCTGAACTTGGTAAAGCTGAGATAACATCAGATTTACAGTAGATGTTTCAAGACTACGTACAAAACGGTAAATTCAAGTATTATATAGAGTAAATTAATTTATTATATAAAGTAATATTAATTAATTAAGCGAAATAGTTATTGTGTTAAAAAACAAATAGTGCAATGAAATTTCTACGTATATAAATATATTGCACTTAATGTAATTTATTATTCCTTTTTGTGTGTGTTTAGTATTCAGAAATATCTTGAAGATGACAACGATAATAGTGATGAGTATTCTGACAAGGATTCTCAGCAAATAAATAAACAACCCCTTTGCCAAGTTTCTAAGAAAAGGGAAGGTTCTGCAGAAGGGAGCAACAGTCGATCGAAAACTAAATCTCACAAACCAGCCCCTAAATCACCTCCATTTCCTGTGTCTAGTACTTGCTCTTTAACACCTTCATCTCCTGTAATCAGTGAACGAGCCATACCAGAATCAATTTCACAGCCATTTACTAGAGCTATTGAACGAGGCTCTGAGTTATCTACATCACATGTAGCTAGTCAACAATCTGTAACACCTGCAACCACAAGTAGTTGGCAATCTGCAACATCTACATCTGCTGCTTGTTACCGAACTTCAACACATGCAGCATCAGAATTGCATACAATCAGTCGGCGTAATTTAGAAGATATATCATTTGTTTCAGCAGGCGCCTTTATAGAAAGAGAGTTAGAACAAGTGATAGCCAACCTTGTTCCTAATATTCCGACTAGTTTGTTAATTCCAGCTACTAGTTTGAATGCCACAGAATTGTCTACAGCAGCTAGTCATACATCTGCACAAACATCAAACAGTGTTTTAAATAAAATATTTACTCTTTTAGTTGAGCTGAAAAGCGAAGTAGCTAATCTTCAGAAGCAGACTACTTACAACACTACTATGTTGCAGACTTTGTCACAAGGTGGGATACAAGACGATGGCAACATTTTTGAAACTCTTGATCTTCCTGTATGTGACCGAAAACAGCTGCAGCAGCTTGAAGATATAATTACTAAAGACAATCTTTTATTTAATAAACTTGTAAGTACAATTTGACTTAATAATAAATTTCTCCAAAAAATTTGATATCTTAAAAACATCTTATGTATTAAAAATATTTGCATGCGAGAGTTTATGATCTATTTGAAGTAAGCAATACTTTACAATCTATAACTAAATTTAATCTTACTTATAGTTTTGCTTCGTCTTCAGGTTTGTACTGATCGAAACACGAACCCCCTGGAGGTTCGTGTTTCGATCGCCTCCCCTTTTTTTATTAGCAAATTCTCTAGTTCAAGCAAATTTTAGCATAAAAATTGAGCAAGATATATATTTGCTAATTAAAAATGCTTTTTTTTCAAATGCAACCTGGCCTCATCCTAGTTACTGTTTTTATTTATTTCTATGATTTTTATGATATTGCCAAAATGCAGATGAAATAATCAATTAAATGTCGACGGTTTAATGTTTAGGTGCATGGTGTTGCTTCGAAGGGCGGTCAGGACCTGAAGGAAGTCGTTAGAAGGATGGTTTCCTCTCTAATGGAAAACGACGTAGTAAAGCAAATGAAATGGTCAGAACTTAGTGAAAATCTAAAAAAACCCTTTCGTGACTTGAAATGCCGACAAGTTCTGGAAAGTAAGCGAAACTTAATATTTGTTAATATCACCTATAATTTAGCAAATGAACCTCAGAAACAGTTGTTTACTGCATCAAAATTGCTTATTCTATGATATTAAATTTTAATTTCTAGAAAAACTTAATGTATAGAAAATATTTTATTAAGTAATATTAAATGTTATTATAATAATGTGAACTAAGTCAGGGCATAACTGCGTATTATATTATGATGCACATTTGCAGGAGCATTGCGAAGAAATCCACCAACGAAAGGTGCTTCAGAAAGTTATGTGCAGAAGGCCGTGGTTCACTATTTAGCAGGGGCTAGTGATCGTAATGGTGGTAGAAAACAAAGAGCCATTCGACAATCAATAAAAAAAACTCACTTTGAACATCGTGCACTAATGCCTACAGCTTCATCGGCAGTTTTAGAACAACCTTTAGTAGCGCCTAAAACTTCAGCGGAAGTTTTACTGCATCATTTGCCACTTTTCTGCTCAGACGACTCAAACAATTAGTTATGTTAAAAATTAGTTATGTTAAATGCTGCTACCTTATAGTTTCTTCAGAAACGTTTTAAAAGTTGTTTCCCATATTCATAATGTAGTTATATTTTTCGTGTATTAATATTGTATTTTATGTTGTGGTTATGTTTTTATTATGTACATGTGTTAGTTCAAATTACAGAATATATTTCTTTATACCTGGTTTTATATTATTTTACAAATTATAAGGGTATTAATGGTTTGTTGAATAATTTTAAAATATTTTTTATTAAAGCTCCTTAGATATTTATTAAAGCTTTTTTGATGGACCAATAATCCCGCTCCGGTGAGCCATTTGGGGACCTGCGTTAGACCAGTTCGGGTTTGCCATTTGCGGACCGCTGATAAGCTATCACTGGCTTGCCAATGGCGGACCACTGAAACACCAGCACTGCGCCTGCACTGGCAAGCCAGTGCCGGACCATGACAAAGCCAGTGAGCAAATCGGCGCTGGCCCAGTGCTGGCCAGCCAGATACGGGCCAGCTCCGCAGCCTGCGCTGGGCCATTGCCGGACCGGTATATCGTTGCAGATTGGGATCTTGGTTATTAGTAAATACGTCATCTGTGTTTATATTTGGTTTTAAGAAAAAATGGGCTTTCCAACAAATTCTTTTAATAAAATGATCAACCTTTTCAATCAAAGAAATAGTATATCTTTTTTCATCTAGTATAGGAATATTTTTTAACGAGTAAGTGAAACTATTATATATATATATATATATATATATATATATATATATATATATATATATATATATATATATATATGTATATATATAAATATATATATATATATATATATATATATATATATATATATATATATATCGATATATATATATATCGATATATATATATATTGATATATATATATATATATATATATATATATATATATATATATATATATATATATATATATCAGGCTTTCCCAGGAAAGGCGTGCGGTCGCACGCCTTGTTTGTCCACGCATAGAATAAGTTTTTCAGAAAACGTGACCGCGGCAATATTTCGTGTGAAAGCGGAAATTATTCTCAGAGAATAAAAAATAATATTAGAAAAAGGAAACGAAGTCTAAACAAAGTATAAAATTGAAATTGGATGTAAGAAAAACATTTTGATAATAAAAAAAAAAATTTAAAAAAAAAAAAAATTCTTGTAACAAAAAAAAAAAAAGTCTTGAATATTTTTTTCAAACTTTTTATACTGTTTTTGTTTGCTTTTTTAAGGGTTGCTATTTTCAGCTACGAAATTTGATACAAGTTAAGGGAAAGACGACAATAAGTCGTAAAGTTTTAACGAAAAAAAAAGACTAGATACGTAATTTATTCACGAACTTTATCAGACAATGTATTAAAAAACTGATTCATTATTTACGCTAGACAAATTTGGTTAAACTTTTTCATTTACTCTAGTTTTTACGAAAGTTTCTGTAAAGGCGTTGACTTTATTCCCCAATACTTTGACAAAAAAATAAGTTGCTGTTTTAATTATTAAATATATTATTTCAGATTTTAAACATAACAAAATTTTAATGTGAAAAAAGTTCTTTCTCGACTGATTATACTGAGTCAATGCTCGTCTTTTATTACGTTGAAATTATTCAATTGCATAATTTTGTAATTACGAAAGAAGTTAAAAAATAATTGCATTGCTTCTGTTGTCATTGTTACGAAAACAGTTCCTTCGGGACATTATTATATATTAACACTCGCTCACAATGTCAATTAATGATTGCAAAATAAACAACTCAATCGTTTGACAATAAAATTTTCTTTCGTTTAAAAAAAACAACAACATATTTTACTAATAAATAGCAATCGTTTTTGTGTTTTCTTGCGTATCAATACATTCAAACATTTAAATCAATACACTTAAACATTTAAATGTATTTACGAAACATTTAAAAATTGTTTATAGTTCTATCGTGAATTTTAAAGTATTACTGACTGATAAAAGTCATAAACAAATTTACATTGAAAGGTCCTTTTATTTTCTTTAAACATTAATCTTTTTCTCTTTGATTTGACTTTTCTTATTGATTTGATTTTTTATAGCTAAAATAACTACCACCCTAAAAAAATAAATAAATAAAATGTAGGTAAACTTTTTTTTAATAATATACATTAATTTTCTAATTTTAAAGCACAAACAGATGTCTGTTATTTACTTTGAGATTGCTTGCATTTTTGCGGTATTTTCGTTTAGCTTTGTTTTGGCGCGAATTCTTGAAACGCATAATAATAAAACGTGGTCAGTTAGTCAGAAAAATTTATTCTATGCGTGGACAAACAAGGCGTGCGACCGCACGCCTTTCCTGGGAAAGCCTGATATATATATATATATATATATATATATATATATATACATATATATATATATATATATATATATATATATATATATATATATATATATATATATATATATATATATATATATATATATATATATATATATATATATATATATATATATATATATATATATATATATATAAAAGTTCTGCTTAAAAGGTTCTGGTGGAAAGATTGCTTTATCATCAACCAAACTATGTGGTGTAATAGAAGGTAATAAAAAGAGCTTTAATGTATTAATATTTTTTAATAACCAGTACTTAATTGAATATATATTTAAATAACATAATTTCAAGATTTTTGTTCGACAAATTTATTTGTCAAGTTTAAATTTTAGTATTTGAAAAATATCTTTAAATTTTATTTTATATTTAGAAGTTGTAAAAAAAGAGTTTCAAATGGTGATATTAAACAGCAAATTGGACGATTTTGTAAAAATGCTTCATCGCGGAAAAATACAACTAAATGAATTACACCATGTAACAACATTTTTGTTTATGTTAATTTTTTAATGTTTCTTACATAATTTTTGTATGCTGATTTCAGTGGTACCATTGGTTTTTCTCTATCATCAAGATTTCCTGAGAAAAAGCATAAAGTATATTTCGGAGTTTTCGTATATGTGTAATGCAATTAAAACATTATATATATAGATGCTGATTTTAACTATATTCGTGTGTTTATTTTCAGTTTAACTAATTACAACTGTTACATGAAGTAGTGAATATGTCTAGTAGATCCTGCAAGCTTTGTCCTGACTCATTCTGTTATGTTTGTGGTTACTATATTAGTCCAACACAAGCTAAACATAAGATTGTCAGTGGTACAAAATTCTTTACTGCATGTCATGCTTATTTTGGCATGGCTATGGGAGATCAGGACAAATTGTGGGCACCACACTACAGTTGTGGTAGCTGCAGATCAACTCTGGAAGGATGGCTGCGTGGAATCCGAAAGTCAATGCCTTTTGCGATTCCGAGAATATGGAGAGAACCGACGAACCATCATGATGACTGCTTTTTCTGCATTGTTGACATTTCAAAGTATAAAAAACCGAAAGATAGGCTGACTCTAGTTTATCCAAATATACCATCTTCTATTGGACCAGTTCCACACAGTGATGAATTGCCTGTTCCTACTCCACCTCAATCCGAGGAAGCAGCTGCATATCATTCTGAAGTAGACTCACCGGATGAACTCAATGATGACTGTGATTTCAGGGATCCGAATGATTCACCTCATTTCCCTAACCAACAAGAACTTGATGACTTAGTACGAGATTTAGGTCTAACTAAATCAAATGCAGAACTTCTGACATCACGTTTGAAAGAATGGAGTTTATTAGATCCAAGCTGCAGAACCTCGAAATACCGAAAAAGACATGAAACATTCGCATACTTTTATGTATTATCAGAATCACTGTGCTATTGTCATGACGTTCGTGGTCTTTTCAATGACATTGGCATTGTTCACAATCCTGAAGAGTGGAGATTATTCATTGACAGCTCAACAAGAAGTCTAAAGGCAGTTTTGCTCCATAACGGAAACCGATTTCCTTCGATTCCAGTAGCTCATTCTGTTCATCTAAAGGAAGACTATAAGAACGTGAAGTTGTTGCTTGAGAAAATCAACTACGACAGTTACAAGTGGGATGTATGTGGAGACTTTAAGATGCTAGCATTTCTTCTCGGTCTGCAAGGAGGATACACAAAGTACTCGTGTTTTCTTTGTTTATGGGATAGCAGGGCTGCAAACCAGCACTTCACAAGACGTGAGTGGCCAGTGAGAGAACATTTACAGCCTGGTTCGCACAATGTTATTAATCAATCTCTGATACCTGTTGAAAAGATCTTACTACCACCCCTTCACATTAAACTTGGTCTTATCAAACAATTTGTCAAAACATTAAACCCAGATAGTGCAGCATTCCAGCATATTCGGCAGATGTTTCCAAAGGTCTCAGATGCAAAAATTTCAGCAGGTATATTCGTTGGTCCACAGATTAAAGTTATGTTGGCATGTAAGGAGCTTGAGGACAGAATGTCTGCTGTTGAAAAAGAAGCATGGACTGCATTTAGACATGTTGTTCATAGCTTTTTAGGCAACAGTAAGAGTGATAACTACAAAGAGATAGTGGAAAACTTAATTGTACGGTACGCAGATATGAAATGCAGAATGTCAATAAAGCTGCATTACCTGCATTCACACTTGGAATTTTTCAGACCAAATTTGGGTGATGTGAGTGAAGAGCACGGGGAACGTTTCCATCAGGATATTCTTGCAATGGAGAAAAGATACCAGGGCAGATGGGATGCAGCTATGATGGGTGACTACATCTGGTGTTTGATACGCGATGACGAGAAACTTCATAAAAGAAAACCTCGTTCTACTGTTCACTTTTAGTGTTTTTTGAGATTGTGAGAGACTGTTACAATACAATATAATGTAACATTATGTAATATATGTAAGAAACATGATGTAGCATGAAGTTTTGTAACATAACATAACACTTTTGAATTAGTAAATGTTTTATATTGACTAAAGTAGAATCTAATGCAAAACGATTTATATTAATTATATGTTTAATTGATTTTTTGGTTTTACGACCAAACAAT